CTTTATGTTGACATTAGTCAGCGTTAGTCTCCATTTAGTTTTATATTTTGCATCGCACATTATTTTGTAATGTGGCCAATAGCCAAAGTATGACATTACATGTTCAGAGTCTCTTAGTCGCAAGTGGTATGCAAGGATAGATGTTGCACTAGGTGTCAGTCTCGCCCCGGGCTCGGGGCGTGACAATAATTTAAAATCGAACCGATTAATTCAAGAAAATAATAAGAATCAAATCCCTAAATAGATAATCAGTATACCATGTATGTCAAAACTCTAAGGAAAAACTATTCTATAATAGTGGGAGAAATCTCACGGATAAAGTCCAAGAACAAGAAAACATTAATCTAACATTATAATTCAAACTTGCATACCGAATTGCAAAGGTGAATTCGGAATTTTAAGAGGATGAGTGCACTATAAATAGACGGATTTAGAATTTAAATTTGATTTTCAACCTTTAGCTTGTGGAAATCATTACACTATTGAAATTATAGGTTTAAAGTTTTTTTAGATATTTGCTTGATTTTTCCAAAATATATATATGTACTGCCTATTAAAAATTTGTTAGTCAAACCCGTTAATTGACTCTATACTACATCCTCAATTGCTACTAGTTTTAATATAAGACATTTCATTTAATTATATAAAATTTTGTTACATTACATAAGGAGAACAGGGATTTCAATACTTGGGGATTTTAAAAAATAAACTAAATAAAAAAAGACAAACAAAGGAAAAAGTACTTAATCAAAAGGCAAGATGGACAAGAAAATTAAATCCTTGACCTCGCTTGATGCACCATTACATCATGTGACTCTTTGTAACATTATATTTATATTATTTTGTAATATTACTATGCATGATTCAGGAAGGAGAGCATGAGTGCACGTGAATCCGCTTCCATCTTCTTAGATACGCCTCTGTTGAATTGGTGGAAGGATGATGAATTCTTGCGGCCTCCAACGCTCTATCAATCCTCCATTAAGTCAAAAATCCTTCAAAAAACATGATTTAGTTGTATTTATATATTGTATACAAACATCCTCGGAAGAAACTACACTAAATGAGATGAAGTGCAAAAATTGACAGCAGAAATGTACTGTCGCGCGATGCAGGGCGCACACACTTGCTTTTTACTCCAAGTCTCCAACTGTCTGATGAAATTTTATCCTAAAGTATTGCAAGGCGAGACGCACTGCGCTTAGCGCTAGGCCAACTTTCTAATAAACTCAGATAAAAAATTTGCACTAAAGCGTCGCCTTATTTCAATTTACTCTGGCACTCATTTTTCTTCTATTTTTCATATGCAAGGTCGGTCCTCGAACCCCCGACATGGTCCCGAGTGATATAATTGGGCTCGTACTCAAACTTTGAAGCTCCATATTCTCCATTTTAGCTCCAACAACTCTTTCTGATTCGGATTCAAGTCTTAAACATATAAAACATGTAATAATTACGAAACATTCGCATTTAAGCTCAATCACGAATAAAATATAAATAGGTGAAACGCAGCCAAAAACCCATGTTTCTAGCCTATCGTTATATTGCCGATGGGTTGACAAATGGAGAAGACGAGAAGAGAGGAAGAAGACATGAAAGATAGAGATTAAGTGAGAGGTGGCTGAAAGAGGGGAGAAAGGATGTGATTTAAAGTCTGGATATAGATTGATATTAATTTGTGTATAGAGTCCAAACCAGAGAGTTTGAATAAAGTAAGGCCAACTTTTATCTTAATTATTTACTTCCTAGTAACTACCTGGTGTAACTTTCTCTATAAAAATTCCAAAAAGAATAAAAAATTCTGTAGTATAATACTTAATTGCACGGATGAATGACAAAGATCGGATACTTCGTGCCACGACTGATTTTTTGATCCCGGTAAGATAGGATACTTCGTGCCACTACTTCCTAGTAACTACCTGGTGTAACTTTCTCTATAAAAATTCCAAAAAGAATAAAAAAATTCTGTAGTATAATACTTAATTGCACGGATGAATGACAAAGATAGGATACTTCGTGCCACTACTCGCTTCCGGTGTTCTATGTGATACGAATGTGCCGTTAAGACTTAAGGGTAAGTTTTATCGAGTGGTGGTTCGACCCGCAATGTTGTATGGGATTGAGTGTTGGCCAGTCAAGAACTCTCATGTGCAGAAGATGAGGGTAGCAGAAATGAGGATGTTGAGATGGATGTGTGGGTGTACCAGGCGAGATAGGATTAAGAATGAAGCTATCCGGGGACAGAGTGGGAGTAGCCTCCGTGGAGGACAAGATGCGGGAGTCGCGGCTGAGATGGTTCGGACATGTTAGGAGAAGAAGCATTGATGTCCCTGTCAGGAGGTGTGAGAGGTTGGCCATGGAAAGTTTGAGAAGGGGTTGAGGTAGGCCTAAGAAGTACTAGGGAGAAGTGATTAGGCAGGACATGGCGCTACTTCAGCTCACTGAGGACATAACCCTTGATAGGATGGTGTGGAGGTCGAGGATTAAGGTAAAAGGTTAGTAGGTAGTTTATAGTGTTCATCGATAGGCTTAGTAGCATGCATGTCCCTTCATATTCTTAGATTTTTTATTACGATATGTGATTTTGTTCGCCTCAGGTATTATATTCGTTGTTGCTATTATTTGATCCCTTTTTTCTCTTCCATCTTTCTTCCTTCCTTGCTTCCTTCTTCTTCTTCTTGCCCTTCCTGAGTTGTGGGTCTATTGGAAACAGCCTCTCTATCTGCATTAGGTAGGGGTAAGGTCTGCGTACAGACTACCCTCCCCAGACCACATATGTTGGGATCAAATTTGTTGTTGTTGTTGGTAAGAAAAGTCTTAGGAAAAATAGCCTCCAATACAATTTTAGGAAGCATTTTTGTAATGTAATATTCACAAGTACTAGTTGAAATGATTAACCAAACACAATTGATTTATCAAAACTAGAAAATATTGATATCCACTGCATCTGCGTGGCTTTGTCGAACATCTTGCTAAGATTCACCATGGCTAGGATGAATAGGAAGGGGAGTCCTAGTACTTCCGTTGAACAACTTCTAAGTGGCATTGTTATCCCCTCTCTCGACCAACCAGACGTGCTTAACGCACACTAATCTTTATTTGCCACGTGTTAATTTTCAAGCATCTAATAATAAAAGTATATTTACTAAATATTTTTCGTATTATAAAATTCTGATATTATAATCCTCTGGTTACAATCCTAAATATAACTTGTTCCCTCACTCTGCTACCTATCCCAGAAGTAGTCTTGGAGTTTTCTGGCCTAAGCGCAGAGTTCAACTCTGGCAGGAGAAAATCGGGGTGATTGAACCCTTCTCCGGAAGCAATCTAGCTAGTACATTAAGGAAAAAAGATTGTCAAGACGGCGAATCAAGTCCTTGTGTTACTCCGTTAAGACACACGTGCACTGACGGAGCAAGTGCAAAACAAACGAAAAGAGAAAGAAAAGTAAGGCCTTTTCACTTTACAGTTTACAAGGTGAAATCAAATTCCATAAAATGCTGCTCTATTTACAGTTTAGTTTATCCAAGGGTAGCAGTATCATTAAGTTCCTTCTAAATCAATGCAAAAAGAGCCAATGATTTTTATTTTATTTTTTTGAATTTAATGATAAGAACTATGATTTCCAAAAGATTTTGGAGTCTAAAGCTACAAGTACTTTCTGAGAACACCCTAAGGAGGAATCTTGTGACAAGAGGGGGAAGGAAGGAAGACATCTTGACTAGGCGCAAAAAGTAGAAAACCCACTATAATAATTTTTTTTGAGAAAACAATGATCAATAAAAGAACTAGAGGAATAAAACAGATCCGAATGTTTGGACACTTAGATGCTGTACAAACTACAATAGAAGGTTTGTTCTCAGTGAAAATTCAAAACCAAGCAGTATGTACAGAGCGGAAGAGAATTTAAATAGAAGTATAGCAAAAAATATTTGCAAAAAGTTGATCCAGAAATTAGTAGGAGTCCTTTATGTTTCTTGTTCTCTCAAACAAGAATCAACATTGCTATTGAATAGCTTAATACAAAGATCAGCAAGATGAGAAGCCGGAAGATACTCGGCATCTGTACCAGCAAACGACTAATCACTGTTCTGCAAAATCACAAAAAGGGATTATGTCAAACTTCAGAGCATATATGCCAATTGACACTGTAAGAGAAATGTCACTTTCCCTAGATTATGCTAGAAAGTTTAACTACTCAGAATGACTCAATATAGCCCATTTTCCAAAATTGGGAGCATTTATATCAATATCAATTTGCTCAATTACTTAATCGTCACGGTTACTGCACATTCAATCTTTGAAGCTCCGTGTTGTCAGATTTTCTACTCCGTAATTTCTACTGGAGTTCTAGCAAGTCCCTTCAGGGACATCTGTTAAATTGGAACGACACTGGAGTTCTAGCTATAAAGGTCCACAAAGCTATTAAATCACTCTCAAATCTTCTCAACTGTTCAACAAGAAGTTAGTTTGAAAGTAACTTGGCATTTATACATCAACTTGAACAAATTTCCATTAAACAAAAATTAGAGCCTTTTTATTTTTAGTTAGAATTAGGCTTCCAATTTTTGGGTTATGTATCCACAAAAAACACACATAACACAAGTATCAAAGCTCAAAATCTGTCACCCCACGGTTAAGTATTTTATTCTTGATTCCTGCATTATCCCCCTGAATCAAATGAAAGAACTTTTACAAACTTGATTACTACATACTTTCTCCGTCTCAAATTGAATGTCTCCATATACTTTTAATTATATTCTATAACAACGTTCACTTGAAAAGGTAATTGTGGTAAATATTACAGTTCTTTAAAATTGAATCTAACCCATCTTTACTTATCTGAGCAGAATTTTCCACCTATCCTTCAACAATCATGTAAAACCAAACCTATGAATTTAATGCAAAACAATGAAAAGAACTTAAAGGGATGGTGCTTTTTGCTAAAAGTGGGCACTTTTCTTACCAAGAATAATTATGGACCAGTATTTACGTTCAACTCACTCCTTTGTTTCACCTTCATCTCTTAAAATCCAGTATATTGCAAAGGATAATAGCAACAATAGGAGTTATTCAAGGATGTCAGAAGAAGAGGTGATTTGACAAATTAAGGTCCTGGTGAGGGTTGTCCATTAGGGTGAAGAAACATTGCTCCACGATTAGTAGATATATCTATATTACCTAGGGTCTTCATTCCTCAACTTACTCGATACTAAGAGGTGTAAAAAGGGATTTTGGTACATCATGTGGATCCTTGAACGTACTAATAACTTGCTCAAAGTTGCGCACACGTACCAGATACTTGTCCAAATCCTACCACGTACATAAATGGGTGAGACAAGAAGCTGTTGAACAAGAGTTGCATTGTATTCTTTTCTTTTTTTCTGATAATTGTGGTGTCCGGTCCTCGACTAAATCCTTGGAATGTCTTCTACCTCCCACCAACAACAGGTACCAAGTAACTATGTCCGTCAAGGCTTAGACAGATGGGAAGAAATCACCTAGTGTTTTTGCCTCCGCTAGGATTTGAGCCTAAGACCTTATGATTCTCAACCCACTTCACTGACCACTAGGTCACACCTTTGGTGCAAGTTGCACTATATTCATTAGCAATAAAAGCATTTAAATTTGATCATATCGATTGAGAATCTCATCATAGATTAGGTGGTCAACCAACTAAGTGAGTTGAGATATGCATCCAAGTCACATAACCTTTCTCTAGCCAAAAATCCCATCATTGAAGGTCTGCCTCTATTTATTTCATGGTATCAAGCTACCAAGAGAATTTGAATGATAAAAGAAACACGGTTTGAATTTTTTTTCAATATTAACTGCAATTGCCATATTATGAGAACTCTTAGAAGTGTTACCAATCCGGTGCTGCCACCTCATCTACTCCTCCATCTTGGATCGATCTAATAGAGCTGTGGGCATCACAGCTTTGCTCCCGTAACAAAATTCACGCAGGAGTTGATAGTTGGGCTCTGGATTCGTTCATACCTAGAAAATGTAATGGAAAATGTGTGATGCTAGATCAGGGATTGGTGAACTAAGCTTTATTTGAAGTACTGAGCTCCTTTGTATTAACCATTGACCATCCTTGGATAGCCATTCTTCGATCGCAAATTCATAGGTATTGATTTCAAATTTCACTAGCTGCAGGTTTAGGATGATAAAAAGAATCCAAATCATGGTTTGAAATTTCTTCCGATTTTAAATGCAACAGCCATACAAGGAGACATCTTAAAACACTTTCCTAATACAATGCTGCTACCTCATCTTCTCCTGCATTTTGGATTGATCTAATAGAGTCGCAAGGGGGCATCCAGGCTTGGTTCTAGGGGTGTTAAACGGGCCGGGTCAACCCGGTTCCGGATCGGCCCATCCCGGTTAAAACCGGAACCGGCCCGGTTAAAGGGGGCTGGGTTAGGGGGGACAGGCGGGTTGGTCCGTTTACCATTAAAATACCGGTTACCCGGACCGGTCCAACCCGTTAGGTGAACAGTACCCGTAAACCGGTTAACCGGCCCGACCCGATTTAACGGTAAAAAAAATTAATTTTTTTTTAATTTGGGCCAGATCTGACCGTTGGCAACGGTCCATTTCAGAAAATGGTCGTTGCCCAACGGGTGAATTGCACAAATAGCCCAATTTTNAAACATACATACGTTATTTGTTTAGCCACCTTCCTTGTAGAGTTTCTCTAACTTCTGATATTGGTCATGCTGTTAATGAAAATGATTATTTGACAATTATATGTCATTGGATAGATGATAATACTTGTATGCAAAAACATATTATCGCTTTTAGATATGATGAAGATCAGAGTCACACTGCTACGTTTATAAGTAGTACTATTTGTGAAGTTGTTGAATTTTATAATCTCAAGCAAAAAGTATTGTGTATGTCTTTTGATAATGCTTCTAACAATAATGCCGCAATTTCAATATTAAAACTGCATTTGCAACCACCTGTTGATGAAATTTTTCATGTTAGGTGTGTATGTCATGTTTATAATTTAATTGTTAAAAGTGACCTTGATTTATTTTCAACTGAGATTACTCATGTTAGATGAGCAGTTGGTGTTATTCAAGGAAATAATAGACAATCTAGAATAAAGGAATTTAAGAATAAGTTTGTCCAGTATAACCTTAAACCCAGATTCATGCCAGACGAAATTGTTACTAGATGGAATTATACATATATATTTTTAAAAT